ACAATTTTTGAGAATTTGCGCCAGCGCAAATATGACGGCACTGCTATTGCAAGTCAACGCCGATTCATAAAAAAAAAACATGGAAATAGAGACGCCTAATCGGCCGAGAGCACCCAAATCTGACAGGTGAACGAAACGACGTGACGTGACGGGCTGCTCGCCGATTTCGCCCAATTTGCGTCGAAATTATCGCGCGAAACCAAACAGCCCGAGACCGATAACAAACCGGACCGGGCGCAACCGCCAATCTTCGCCCCGCTTTCGTGTAATTTAAGGCCCCGGCGCGAAGGAGGTACCTGTCGTCCACCCAAACTAGTTTACGAGGGCCCATTGTCAATTTCAATTTCAAATTAACGAGGGCCGGACGGGATTAACTCCTCCGGACCTATTTCGTACTCTAAAAGCTTTTAGGACGAAGCAATCGGGTTCTGTTCATAATGAGAATCTACCTGCGAAGCGCGAGGGGCCCGGGTCTACCTGCGCGATCAATGGGAAGGGCCCCTCGGGCCCCACGAATCCTCCAACTGAACATACGGGCTCCGGACGCGCCGTATTAATTTTTTGACGGCGGGGAATTATTTCGTCGCCTGCCCGGCGAAGCTCACGACTAATTTATTTATTTTTTATTTATTTATTATTTATTTATTTAGTTTACACCATCCAACAGTATTGAAACCATTTATAGGATGGGAAAAAAACAAGCAATTACATGAACATTCAAAAACAAATGTACCAAAAACAGGATACAAAATAAGAGAAAAAAAACATATACATATACACAGTACACACATATAAACATAAAAGAAAAAACTAGTCAAAATGAATACAATATATAAATTCATATTTCCTGAACACAAAACTACGAATGAAAACTGACAAGCTACAAAAATACATTTTTCAGTGAATTATAAGAACTATTGAAAATATCAACTCTGTTCTGCAAGTTGTTACAGTTGCTACACATGAAATATGATGGCGAAAATTTGAATACATTGGTACGCGCGGTGGGTAGATAAAATAAACTGTTATGTCGGGTTGCCCTTGCGGGAACATGGAATCTAAGCAGCTCAAGTAATTGGGGGCAGTCTATTTTATTATTTATAAGTTTATTCAGACAAATCAGTGAATGAGTTTTTCTGCGTTTTTCAAGGCTCACTACAGAAAATCTACTTAAGAGCTCATTTTGAGGAGTTTCAATTAAAGGGTATCTACCATCCAGCTTAAGAGAAAGAAATTTTAGAAAACGCCGCTGAATGTTTTCTAAGCTTTTTGCATAGATTCTACTAATGACGCATATTCAAGTTTGGATTTGACAAAGGCATTGAAAAGCAGCATTAAGGTTTGTATATCAGTGAAACATTTTGAATCACAGACAACAAATTCCAAATTCTTATACGAGCTTTTTATAACTTCATTTACATGTAGGCTAAAAGTTAGTTTAGTATGTAACCCCTAGCCCTAGATCTTTAATGGAAGCTGGTCGATTTAAAACTTTGCCGTTGACACTATAGTTATAAGCAATAGGAAATACTTTCTTCGTAAATATCATGACATTACATTTATCTGCATTTAAGGGAAGATTGTTTAAATTGCACAAATCGCTTGTGTCATTTAAATAGTGTTGGAGTTTTAAGCAGTCAGAAAAGGTATTTATGGCACAGTAAATTTTCACATCATCCGCATACAGTAAATAAGATACATCAGCTTTTTCAATTATATCATTAATGAAAACTATGAAAAGGAGTGGTCCAAGAATCGAGCCATGGGGCACTCCTGATGTTAGAGAAATTTCTGGTATTATGGACGTCTAGATGTGCTAGAAATTGAAAACTAACGGTTGGAGCGTTTATAAGCGCGCATTAAATAAGGGAGGCAACTGCACTAGTGCCTAATTGTCGTCATAAGAAAAACCAATTCTAAAAGTATTCTGTCTCTAAAAACTTAGCGAAAAATGGTCGTTAAATACGCAATTTTTTACTTTTTTGGAATCAAGTTTCTTGCATCGATTTTTTTTTATCAAAAAACGATAAGAACGTCTTATAAAAGATACTTTGAAGTGTTCAAAACCGTGCTTAGATTTTCTGTATTAGTTCCCGAGTAATTAATTATCAAAGCCAAAAAGGTCATTTTTGCTTTGCGACAAATCATTGAACAGAGCTGTTGAACAACAATCAAAGAGGACGAATCAAATAAAAATTTGGAAAAATTTTTTTCAATAGATTTCCTATGATTTTTTAAAGGTGGTGGTCAATGTTAAAAAATGTTTTACTTTCAAATCCTCAAACTAGAAACTTCAACCTGCTTTTTTTGGTTGCTCTACGACCATTTTTCGACAAATTATAGCTTTTTTATCCTTTAATTTTTTTAACTAGTTTATGTGCTAATAGTTTTAACTGAAATTATTCAAATATTTTTAAAAAATTATACACAACTAAATTCACCAATAGTGTAGTATTTATGCTGTAAAAAAACTTTTTCTATAAAATTAAACCCAATAATACAAAAAAAAAAAGAAACACTAACTCTCATAACAACATATCTAGAAATAAGAGATGCAGCCACATCCCAAACTATAGAAGCACGTTCTTTTATCAGTGGCTTCAAATATATTCGGACGTGGTTCCACATATAGATGGTATATTTGCTATTTAAAAAAAAAATATCTTATTTCTGATATTATAAGTATAAAGCGGCAATTACTGGTACAGTGGTTATTACCAGATAAATTATTTATGTGGGGATTAATTCCGGTCGATTTTAAGAAACATCCAGTATATTAAAGTTTTCTAGCCATGGCGATCTCGGACATCTTGATACATAATATCGGTCATTTAGTTCAAAGTTACGGAACTTAATGGTGTATGTTGAAGAGAAATTCGACTCTTTTTTATATCTTCAAAGTTTGGCTTTGCTTCATGTGAAAATTGCATTTGGTTTTCGCAGCCTCGACAATGTTTATGAATGAAAGTAACTGAACTGTCAAAATTTAATTTGGCGTGAAACTTAGATATTTTGTTTCCAAATCGCTCTTAAAAGTCGAGCGAAAATGGATAATTTGATATTCAAAACAAAATATATAAAAAAAATAAGTTTGAATTCGTTTTCTCACTCTGATACCTACGTACGTAAACAGTTGTTATTACTGCATATTTGAGTTGTACACAAAAAAATAACTCAATAATGTTCCGAGTTTATAAAGCTCACTTCTTTCTCTTTACAATTAAAATAATAAAACGAAAAAATTTAGTTCTTTTTTCGACAACTATATAACGAACAAGCAGATTGTATAAACCCTAAATTCAAATCAAAACTTACGTGGATCCCTTACACTTCACTTGTAACTTATAACTAATAAAAATTTTATTGTTTTGCTTCACTGCATTCAACAAATTGACGATCGATAATCAACAACCACAGAATAAAATCAAATTCACAGTTATAGTTCTCTAAGCCTACTATTCAGTTGTAAAATCTGTTGAAAATTGTGATAGACACGGATGCCGTCGGAAAACGGATATTGTAGGTACCTACACAACTGCCCGTCAGAAAGTTGGAAAATTTTTGTATTCCTTATGAAACAATAACATACGGTTACAGCTACATTTTGTTTGTTCATTAATACTTACTTGATTTTCGTGTTAGATTTACGCAATGCTGCTAACGCTGTTATTATCAGCCGAGAGGGGGTATAAATTTCAATAAAACCGTGTATCTATATTTCTTAACCTATATTTAATCACTGTCTAGGAACAAAATATGGCACTGTCTAGAAGATTAATAAGACGGAAACTTTAGACGCAAATTTAACAATGTTTTATGTTAAATAAATATTTTAACTGTCTCAAGTTTCGTGTATCCCGCCCGAGATTCTATCTCTTAACATTAATTCCACTTTGATATGGATATTTGTTTACAAAATTATCCGATTGTGTCAATAGGTTATGTGAATTTTATAATTATTGATTTTTAATACACAGGCTTAGTTGATAGTGAAATACTTACAGAAATCTTCGAAATAGGGAATACCCAGCTACACAGCCTTTAAGCCTGCAAATACCTACATTTACTATAAAGATTCATAACGAATGATGTGTAACCAAATCATAAAACTTGAAAATCAAGGCAATTTAAAAGAGATTTTCAAACAAACCTGTGTTTATTAGGTTAGAATTCTTGGTATCGATAAACCGTGTTTGCCCATTGAAGATAAACCTAAACACATACCTGCAGATTATGTACTTTGTACGAACAAACTCTTTTTCTTATTTTTGAATAAGTATACAACAAAATAAAAACCAAGACAAGTTTTGTTGTCATAGGAAATCACTGGCGCGAAAACAATATGTTGTTTGTAGCAGGCATGACGCTTGGCTTTTGTTTTGATAGTGGTTCTATGCGATTATGCACAATGCACACGTGCAACAAAAAATCGACCCAAATTTAATAGTCGTCCTTGAGAACGCGAAATAATAAAAAAGGAATAACAGGTGAATCACATCAGCCAGTTTTTAGATCCTAATAATACACCTGTTTACGTGGTTCTTTCAGCACGACTTAAAATGACCCTCTATTAAGTAGGCGTCCGACGTTCGAACAACAGAGTGAAGAAGTGACAACAATCGGCTTAAAATCTATAAATTTTGGTAGACGGTTAAGGGTCGGTTGAAATTGGAAGTAAACAAGCAGTGAACGAGTCACCTTTGTCGATAATTATTAAGCATTTAGGCATTTTTATTTCAACCGCACTAGGTGGAGAATAGTGTGTTAGCGCTCCGGCAGCAATGTCAGCATACTTGCGAAAGAAACGGTTTGATACAGAAATTGTAAACACCGAAGGTGAAAGAAAAACACAGCGTTTCGGGCCCCAGATTTACAAACGGGCGTCGTTACAAGAGCAGAGCGAAGTAGGCGCGTTTCTCTCGGATTAACGAACGCTTCGTGCGACTGTTTATATTCCCAACGAAATCCGACATAGCGTAAGTAGACAATAAGGTATGTACCTCCGACTCGGTGAGGTCGATAAGGCTGCTCTTCTCCTCGGTGAGGTTCTCCGAGGACCTCTTCTCGTCCTCCCCGTCGCCCTCGTCCTTGAACACCTTAACCTCATCGGTGCTTCCGAGATCATCTCCGCCACTGGACGAGACGTGTGGCATGGTTCACTTGAAATCACGGTACAGCGGCATTACAGCTCGCTCACTACATGGCACCACTATCTGCATCCGCACAGGCGACGCGACATCCTGTTGTCATCCACGGCGGCGCGGCGGCACGGACACGGCTACGCTTTAGTTCCCGGCGGCACTTCCCTCTCACTAGACACTGGCACGTGGTCTACGTTGCTCCGCGGCTCAGCTAAGCACTGACCGGCGCTGCAGATCAAGCAGGCGCGCTCGCCGCTCTCTGTCGGCCCGACCAATCAGCGGCCGCTTTGATCCGCCGAGGCGGCTCGCAATAATGGCAGCCGCACGACTGCGCACGACCTCGCCCGAGCCGCGCTCTCCCGCTACATCATTACCGCCGTGATTAATTTCTCCTCCAGACATTTATTTTACTAATTTATGGACTGTTGTTTGTAATGATGTACGGGACGGGACGGTCTCTGGCGATTTCTTGCGCTGCTCAACAGGTCCGGCGGGCGTTGGCGTGTGTGTTTCGTTGCTTCCCAGCCGTGGTCGCGGATCCCTCGGACATTCGATACTGCTCGACGCGGACGATTCCACCGCTTGCCTTGACCCCCATCCCGTAATTGCCGTAACGCCTTGTTATAAACCAAATCATATTTATTACCGGCGACGTAATGTAGGATAGAGTTTTCACGCTCGCCTCGCTGCGATCGCCGTCACGGCAGCCTGGTGGGTATCCCCTGTGCATGATCTCCTTTCCTTGACTATTTTTGGCAATAAGTAAATACACAAACAGTACGCCGGTTCATTGACATCAAAGGATTATTACGATTTCCCTCTCCGACGACGTCGAACGTATCTCCGACGAGTTTTAATAACCCCAGACAGCTCGCTGATATCTCTCCTTGATTTTATGTCCCATTTTTATTAGGCACGCGTTTTGAGATAAGGCTTATTAACTTTATTTTATGGATTTCCATGAATCTCAAAATACAAAGCAGGTTGGTATTCCCGAAAGACCGATGGATTTTTCTCCTCCGCCAGAACGAACTTCAATAAAAATGCTCGCCTTTAAGCAGATGGATGCATATTTTTATGTTCTATCTATTAAAAACGAAATAAGTATAACGCAACATTATTATAAAACCTCTAAGAACATTTTCAACGAAACAAATTAAGTATATTTCATAAGTATCCAATACTAAATTGTAGATATGTGTTATGTTTAATATCAACAGTTCACCTTAATCAATTTAAAAACAAGTGGTGGTACATATTGTAATTTGCTTTGTATGGAATATCTACCATATTCATGAAAAGTAAGTCGTAAAGTGTAGGGAGCTGTGTCTGGATGGCTGTTTCAGGAAGACACACTTTTCTCTAAAACTATTTTTCCATAAAGGCATCAAACTTAACAACGCTTCTTTTTCGTACATAACCTAATACATAACCTCTTTCATTTTCTTAACTAACCATAAGCCTAAGATAAGAAGAACTAGGAACACTGAACACTTACTCCAGATCTCCTCTTCTTCTTCTTATTCGAATAAGTAAATCGCGCGGGATTTTTTAAATATTTGAAATGGATTACTACAAAAGCAATGCTTTTTTGTCCCCTTTTTGCGTAATATGCAATTCGAGAACTATTCCACATGTTCTCAATAAGGATAAGTAACAACTATAAATAAAGTGAAAAAGAATAAAATAGCCGTCCTATGCACATCTTTTTTTCCACTTATTATCATCTTAAGCGTATCTGTGTTCCTCCCCGGCAAAGATACGAGACCCGCGTCGAAGCTGTCCGCCTCCCCAGCCTCGCTGACCGGCCGGGGTGCCTTCCCGGAAAGCCCACCCCCATTTACACGCCATTATATGTTTGCATGGGGTGCAGATCGCAAACAAATCATCCAAACAAAGAGCGACCGAGACTGGTGTCTCGGAAGTAGGTAGGATGACTGTTAATGGTTATTCTTCTTCAAATAGGATAAGTAATAGGTTGTTTGTTGAGGGTGGCTGGCTGGTTTTGGGGGAAATTAGTTTCTTTTATGTAACATGTTTGGATGTTACCAATGAATGTAATAAGCACAGGTTGAAAAATCTGGAATTATAAAAAATAAAATAGACCATCAATTCAGCCGAAGGTCTAAGGAACCTTCAACTTAATTGTAATCTTGCCCAATGTTGATAAGACGACGATCAAATCTTCGTAATGATGTAAACTTGGATTGCCTAAGTTCTTTTTTTGAAACTTAAAATTCCAGTATGATCTTTGACAGCTAAACTGGGAGATTGTCTGCTTTCAGGTTTTTTATAGAGGAGTTATTTCCGATTTGTTCTGATTTATCGACTTATATTAAATTAAAAATCATTTCTGTTGATTTGTGACGTCGAATCTACCATTAAAGTTCAGCAAGAGGATATCATGGACACCCTGTATGACATTACCTAAGGTTCATTCACGAGCATACCATTTGTCGACATTATTATCGATAAGAAATTTTCGGACGTGTCGCCACTGCTTTCTTCGCTGCGAAACTTCCGTTCATTAAAAGTGACACTTTGTTTAAAGGGCAAAGGGTTCGGACAACCAATCGCCGAGCGGTGTTTGCTAGGAAAAGACGCGGAAGCTGGAAGCTGTAAAAGATGAAAGTGGCATCCGCCTTATCTACTCCTTTTTGTATAAATCAACAAGCGCACATAAATACTATTTACCTTAGGCTTGTTTGAAATTATGTCTGCTCGCATTGTGTTATGTATTAAGTGGCAAACAACTTGCAACAAGCGACGTGTAAGTAGCTACTGTAAACACGTGGGTTCTACACAGAAAAAAATTAGGTGAACAAACAGCGCCATTATCGGGGTTAAGATAAAATTTTCGGCTCTACAAAGCAGACTGCAACTAAAGGTGGTGATTCCTTTATTGCCGAAATCATAATTTATTCATTCGGATAACGTGTGTGATAGTTTCATTAACGTACCTGCATATTTACAATAATTAAATAGCTTTGAAGGAAAGTTCTTCCTTAGCTGGATTGCCAATTTTCTACGGGGAGTTTGATGGCCAAAATTAACATTAAAAGATGTAATGAAAATTGACGATGACAATGGCTATATTTTAATATTTTCTAAATCAGTCGAAGTATGAGTACCTACTTTGGTAGATACTGCAAAAGAATATGCATTAGCCAACAAAATAAATACAGGGTGTTTTAGAAAAGGTACCATAAATTCAGAAGCTGGCAGAACATCAATAAAATAAGATGATTTTTCCTCTTAGACCAGGGTCGATAATTTTTGAAACCAAAAAGAATTATAGTAGGATGAAACCCATTGGAAAAGAAAGAGAATATAACAGAAATGAAAGGAAAAATAATTTACGGGCGATCTGAGGTCGGGAAGGGGTAGGGGGTGAGTTTTTAAGGGTAAAAACGGTTTCCCTTGATTTCCAGAAAAACTACAAGTCTTATGGAAAAAAGTTAAATGACAAAGTTGTAGGTAATAAAAAGATCTACAACTTTTGTATTTACACTTTTTTCACATAACCTCAAAATTTATGTGAAAAATTCAAATAACCAAGTTTTTGGTTTTTTATTTTTATCTTTTACAAACAAATTTTTTTTTCACGAAATTTGGTGAAAACTTACCTATTTATGTCCCAAACACGCTGTAATTTTTTTGATTTGAAATATTTATTTTTTCACCTTATTTTTACTTAATATCGAAAAAGCACCCTAATTTTCAATCGAAAATTCTCACGTCAAAATATCTGCTTTTTTAAAAACGTCGGTGGGCTTTTTCTTCGTTGAAATCTCTACTTTCTGATGGTGTAAAAAAATATATACATTACTATGGTAAGTTTTCTCAGGAAATGCAAAGAAACGAACTAGAATCCGAAAATTTTTTTCTAATCATTATGTACAATTTTGAGCTATTTATTAAAATTTACACTTTAATTACTCGAAAAACGTAAGATTCCATGTTACATTGATAAACAAAAAAATTACAAGTCGAAATATACTATTATAATTAACAACCAAATAAGTTAATAAAGTTAATATTTAATAAGACATCTACAATATTTTGAGAAAGTTGTAGAATCTTCTTTCGTTTCTTTGCATTTCCTGAGAAAACTTACCATAGTAATGTATATTTTTTTTTACACCATCAGAAAGTAGAGATTTCAACGAAGAAAAAGCCCACCGACGTTTTTAAAAAAGCAGATATTTTGACGTGAGAATTTTCGATTGAAAATTAGGGTGCTTTTTCGATATTAAGTAAAAATAAGGTGAAAAAATAAATATTTCAAATCAAAAAAATTACAGCGTGTTTGGGACATAAATAGGTAAGTTTTCACCAAATTTCGTGAAAAAAAAATTTTTTTGTAAAAGATAAAAATAAAAAACCAAAAACTTGGTTATTTGAATTTTTCACATAAATTTTGAGGTTATGTGAAAAAAGTGTAAATACAAAAGTTGTAGATCTTTTTATTACCTACAACTTTGCCATTTAACTTTTTTCCATAAGACTTGTAGTTTTTCCGGAAATCAAGATAAACCGTTTTTTACCCTTAAAAACTCACCCCCTTCCCCTTCCCGACCTCAGATCGCCCGTAAATTATTTTTCTTTTCATTTCTGTTATATTCTCTTCCTTTTCCAATGGGTTTCATCCTACTATAATTTTTTTCATTTTTTACTATTTTTGAAGGCTTAAGCACTGGTCTATTTCGACCACGCGCCTATTGCCTTTTGCTTTTAATATTATAGTGAGCCTCAAACGATTTTTTAAAATTAAGTTGTAGGTGTTTATTTTCAAAAAACCACCTGCTAGAGATCAATAGCTACGGTCTTTCTCGGTGACATTTTACAACACAACTATTTAGAGATTGGACATATCGTATATTATAATGCAAAAGAGTGATCACAAAAAACCTGTGATTTTCGTCCGTTTTTTCACAATTCGCAGAGAATTAAAAAAATACATAAAAATATGTTTTTAGTCGCAAATTACTTGTAAAAACTGAAATAAGCATAGCTTTTAGTATTTTGAAAAATTAAAAAATCACCCCTACTTAGGGGTTGAAAATATGCCGAAAATGAAACATTTGAATATTAACAATTGATATAAAAACTATTAGCATGTGAATCATCTTAATATATTTTTTTTGGAATTTTTCAAATTATTTCTGATATTCTCTATTTTTGGGGATGATTCCACTCC